ACAGTCATGAGGAACTGATAGGGACGACTCGGCATCGCCTTAACCCTGACGAGACCATCCTTGGCGACTATCATATCCTCCCTAATAGTGACAGAGCCATCCTCCATACCAGGGAGGGTGAGGCCATAAGTCTCCATTGCCATGGATTTACCACATGGAGCGGGGTTGTTGTGCACGTCCTTGACATCTGGATTACAGATAGACCTAGTTGACATATGCATACGTACATTGCCTGGCTTGAAAGCCTGAAGATCATCGATGATAGCAAAGAGGATCAGGAGTGTAGACAACATGATGAATCAAATAGCGAGAGAGATAGAACCTAAGTGTCGACCCATAAATCCCCAGTCTGCCGAAAAGAGTACAGCACTTGTGATCCATTCCCGACCAATCGGGAAAAACGAGGGCTAGCTCACTGTCTCTGGAATCATGCGCACAAAAAAAGATCATGGCCAGAACGCACGCGCAAAATGGATACCTACTGTCGGGTAGTCTATTCGGCACTCCAATGTAGGCTAGACGGACTTCTGAACTTGCCCCGTGTACAGGGCCCCAGAAAAATGTGGAGAGTACAGGGCCCCTGTACTCTCTACACTTTTCTTTGCTCGGGAATTCGACATCCTGATCAATTTACGATGGACTGCTCCAGGTGATCCCCGCTGTGGGATATTTCACGCGCGCACAACACATATGTGCATCTACGAGATGCGACAGTTTCTCTTTTTTCGACGACAACCTGGATGTCTCCCCTACTCTTGATGTTGGGCACCTGCTTTGCCCAAAGCCGCAATATATGCCATGATGGCGTATGCACGCTCCAAGGATGGGGGCCTCTGGACGAGCGTGCCCCAAACCTTTCACGCAAGTCGCAGGCGCGAACTGCCTAGATGGGGAAAATTGACTGCCAAAGGGCTGAAAATGAAACCCTAAATTCAGACGAGCCGTCTAGATTGGCTGGTTATCCGTGTTCACATAGAACGCTACGCTAGCGGGTTGTAAGGACTTCTGTCACTGTACCGTTTGTGGTGCAGTTGTCCTCAAGGCTTAAGCTAAGCGTGCTAGATATTCATATATTTTGTAATACTATAAGTAAGGTAAATGAGTCATTCATCCCTCGAGTCGAGTAAATTGTGTTAGCGGTTACAGGGTGGCCTATCGACTACGGTTGAGACTGGAATTCTGTGACCAGAGATTGGTCTTGAAACTTTCGAACTCACGTGTTGCTGCGTGAGTATTGCGCGCGCGCTAAAGTATCTAAAGAGCAGCTTCACAGGAAAAGGAAGGTTATCCCAATGAATTGGGTCCCAAGGTCTCCGAAGATGAGTCATACAGCGAATCGCTGGCATGATGCGTTCTGTGATATCTTTGAACACACGCTCTGGGGTAAGGAATTTCAGATTTGGTACGTCTGGTCGCACACGCTTCGCTTATCGGGACCATGATACCTCATGTTGATGTGTTGTAGATGGCCCGAGTTCAATTGTTAGAGGAATGTTGAGGGCTACTTTTTAGTCCTTTAAGTTTATAGTGATCTGCCAAGGCCTGCTACCTCCTGCTACCTTTGTTGTTTGTGCGTTTGCGTCTGCGTGCCAACTTGCACGTGTACACAGCTGTGGTATCAGACTCATTGTAGCACGATCCACATTGTAGAGATCGGTACCGTAGCCATCTTGGCTCAAGTTCTGCCTTGTTGGGTTCAGTCAATGCCCACCAACCCTCAAGCGAGCGGACTACCTGGCGTTAACAAATATATGGATCGATTCGATCTTTATGAGTCGCACTTTGATTGAGCATGTTGCCCGATAATCAGGATATCTATTGGTGTTGCTCAGCTCACATGGGTCGCGTTTGCAGTGTGGAAAATAACGTATGAGATGGTAAAGTATGGACAGTGATACGCTACATCAACACACTCGATTGACATAGTGCGATACATCGTCGGAATCACATCTCCACTGGACTCCAGTGACTGGAGTCTCCAGTCTGGAGATTCTCAGGGTATAATATTCGTAACGGAGTCCACATTTCTACTTCCCATTCTTCATTTCCACATTTTGCGAATCGCGGGGATGAACCGACGATTCGCGGACCGCTAGTATTCGTCATTAGAAGCCATTCTGCCACGTTGTTATTTTGTGCGGCTCACTAGAGAAGTTTGATTCAAACCTTGGCACTGGCGCGGCAAATTGTGTTGCCACATTATTTCAGAAATAATGTGGCTGATGGAATATACCGTTTGCGAGTTCATCTTTGATGACTCATCAGTGATGGTCGATACGCTTGGTCTCGGGGCTTTCAACAGTCATAAGGAACTGATAGGGACGACTCGGCATCGCTTTAACCCTGATGGGACCATCCTTGGCGACTATCATATCCTCCCTAATAGTGACAGAGCCATCCTCCATACCAGGGAGGGTGAGGCCACAAGTCTCCATTGCCATGGATTTACCACATGGAGCGGGGTTGTTGTGCACGTTTTTGACATCTGGATTACGGATAGTCCTAGACTAGGACTCCTAGTTGACATATGCATACGTACATTGCCTGGCCTGATAGCCTGGAGATCATACATTCCGAGACGGACTCCTGAGCTTGCCCTGTACTCTCCACGCACTTCTTCGCTCGGGAATTCGACCTCTTGATGAATTTACGATAGACTGCTCCAATTGATTTCCGATGTGGGGTATTTCACGCGCGCACAACTCACATGTGCATCTACGAGAGCAGCTTCTGTTTTTATCGACGACAACCTGAATGTCTCCCCTTATCCGCGCTCGCCCACCCGGTAGCGGTCAATCCCACGCCCACGTGCGTGAATATACGGAGGTGCCAAGCCCAGAGGATGGAGGAACGGAGAGACGATAATTAAGGGCAGTAGCCTTAGAGCAGGGATAGTGTACCTTCCCGAAGTCCGACTTTGGGAAGGTTCACATCTTCCCGATCTTCCACATCTAAGGTACGGGAAGGTACCACTATCTCGACTTTGAAAGTCGAGATATAACCATAACCAGAATACATTAGCAAAACATAACCAGAACAAAGAATGAATCAACCAAAGGTAAGAATGGCTGAACCACTTTACTAAGTAACAAATATGAAGCACTCTAGCTGAATGAGATAAATCATACAAAAAGTTTACGGCTATCGAACGATCCAATAACCCAAAGACAGTCACGTTCTTGAAGGTGGTATCGTCGCACTCGCGTAACACTGAATAAACACTTTATCAAGTGCCTGAAACCTCGTTCGGAATAGCACAACGGTCAACACTGATGTTTCAGTCGTATAGCACTGACATGAAAACAAGACAAGCTTACTAGGCCTTGTCTCGTGGATCCGAGTCGACCGCTGCAAACTGATACACAATTTTTACAACAAAGCGAGATATCGAAGCACAACATTCCTCACTTTGAGGGAACAGGACGGGACATCGTTCATACCAATAAAGTAGTTGATTCTGATCACGAATCTTGAGCGACAATTGAACTGGAAACTGGAAAATATCTTTGAGGACAAATGCTTAGGACCCGACAGGGGTATTTTTCCCAGAGCATAATGCTCTGGGAACAAGAACGAGCTTCGTAATGATTACGGAACTTACAGAATCAAGAATGGAATAGGCACCGTCTAACACCTTGACGAAGACCAGTTCACGGGACAGGACGAAAACTGAACATTTCATAAGACAAGTCGTCTCAGACGACTTAGATATCGGGGTATCTGACAATTTAGAAGTACACAGGACTGGCATGCCAGATCTCCCAGCGCCAGTGCCAGTCGTTCTTGTAGACCAAGACATTTACCCAGGCGTTTAGATTTACGCCAGAAAAGAACTCCCACTTGTTGGGCACGTTATCCAAGGTGTTGCCCTTAACATCTATCGAGACTCCGGCACCAGCAATCAAAAGAGAGATGCTGGTTCCAATCTCGCCGTAGGCAGTAATTACATTGTTCGGTTTCGCAGTACAGCCAACCTTAGCGTATATACTCCAATTGATGATGGAGCCAACAACAGGTAAGTTCACGTTGAAAGTGACTTTGATCTCTATTTCGGCTCTGAAAGTGCGCTTGTCGGGCTGAAGCAAATCCTCCCCAGAGGCCGATCCAGAAATACAAACGACGATATTAAGGCTGACACCCTCGCCCCACTGCCAGACAATTGCACACCCCTCAGCTTTAACGGTCATGTTGAGTACGGGAGCACCATCGGATTTCCCTATTGCAATGATCACTTTCAATGAAGCAGACTTCTTGTCATCCTTCACATCCACGAAGGTCATTCCGGCATTGAGAGAGAACTTTTCCATAGTGGCGTCGGCAGAGACAAAGAGGCAATACCTTTGCACTTGCTTGCCCTCGTCGTTTCTGCAGCTCTTGGGGAATTCGAACTTGACGAGTTGAACCATCCGCCTGTTGTATTCCGTGTGGAAAAAGGTATCGGCAGCGGATCCCTTGGGAATGTCAAAGTACATCACACCGGCCTTCGCACCGGACAAGCCTCTACGAAGCCTGCGGGACTTCAGCCAGTCGACTTCTTCCGCATCTTCGAAGAAGTTACGCTCATCTTCGGCAATGAATGTGGCGGTGACGTAATCGAGATTGACTGGGGGAGCATCACCATCACCCTCTCCCAAACGGCGGGAACTGGTGATATGATAGGTCGTATGCATCTCCTTCTCGGCTTCAGCGACATCGATGGCATCATCGAGCTCCTCGTGGTTGGAGTAATCGGTCTCCTGGAGGGTTTTACCTCTAATGCTGTTTATACCAAGAAGTTTGACTGGTTTCTCATCGTTAGAATCGGTATAGAAAATCCAGTGATCAGGGTACATACCCGTCTGATAAAGAGCTGAGTAGTTTGCCTTGCTGGTGGCATCGACTCCCTGAGGACCCCACTTGATGTACTTGTGAACGGTAGCACCACCGAGGGTTGTGGTGCCTTCGGACGTCCATCCGTCTTCCTGAAGGCTTCCAGGGGCCTTGGCCGCACCGAGAAGGCGCACAGATTCCGGCTCCTGTTTGGTCTCAGAAATTGTGATAGCCTGATTCTTGTAAAGCTGGTCGATACGTGTGGTCTCGGGGCTTTCAACAGTCATAAGGAACTGATAGGGACGACTCGGCATCGCCTTAACCCTGATGAGACCATCCTTGGCGACTATCATATCCTCCCTAATAGTGACAGAACCATCCTCCATACCAGGGAGGGTGAGGCCATAAGTCTCCATTGCCATGGATTTACCACATGGAGCGGGGTTGTTGTGCACGTCCTTGACATCTGGATTACAGATAGTCCTAGTTGACATATGCATACG